CCCATTTGAACAAGTATTTGTCAAGTGTCCGTTCCTGTCGATGGCCACACTTCAGAGATTTGGCAGTTTTTCGACTAAAAAACTCGCCGACTCGAAGTGGAGGCGAACTTGACGGAACAAAATGAATACGTTCACATCGACTTTGTAAACGGGAGTGTAAAATCGCGCCAACGATTTTTGTGTTCTCGCGAGTATCCTGGAGGATAATCTGAGAGGATGAGGTGGCCAGGGGAAGGCATCAGGCGCCGGCGGAGCAACTTTATGGTGAGTGTTAATTTTTCATTTTGTGCCAAATTAATATTTTCTCCGGTGTATTATCGAGTCGTTTCATTGCGTAAAGAATTATTTAGCGCCAGTAATTGATCGACCAATGTAGAAAATTGCACGACAGCCATCGGTCGTCATACAATTTTCTACATCGTTTCAGTTCATAATTTCATAAAATCGAAATAATACTTAAAGGACGAGAAGTAATTTGAGATTTTACAAAAGTTTATTCTCGCACTGAAAAAAATTTCTGGTTGAATATGGACGAATCAGATAATTCCTTTAGGATTTACCAGAATTCCTTTAGGATTTACCAGAATTTCTGTAGGATTACAGGAATTCTGGTAAATCCTAAAGGAATTCTGGTAAATCCTAAAGGAATTATCTGATTCGTCCATATTCAACCAGAAAATTTTTTCAGTGCGTGAAAATCTCGGCTTTTACCGAACAACTTTCGCGCAATAATCATATAAACATATCTAACCGAATAAAAAGTTTTATACGCATATGAACTATATCTTGCACTATTTTTAGTTTTCTTGAACGCTATTTTAATAGAAATCTTTTATTTTTCTGTTACAGATTCATCGTAGTTAAACTCCGCTGCTGCGCGTCAGTTGGTAAGTCCAATAATTTTTTAACGAGGCAACGAATCTACATTTCGTAGATCGTAGTTTGTAGATGATAAATTAGTATATTTCGTAGATTCTCTGGGAAAATTTTTGACCGTTTTTTGATGTAGTTAAGCAACTTAACGTTTCGGTTATTGCCACTTAAGTGAAAATTATCTTTGCGTTACCGAATATCGACAGAACTAATTGAGAGAATTGATTAGTATTACTTTAATATCTTGGATAAAGATAGAACAGCTAATTGCGATTTTTAGTTACGCGGGATAAAATTTGTAAAAGATTAGAGTTACGAACAATCTAAATAATTCGATTACTAATTGTGGGCCCCAAAATGGGTTGCAACTAACTTTTTTTCCCAGAATACATTTCGTAGATCGTAGATTGTAGAACATAAATTAGTATATCTTGTAGATCCGTTGCCTCAAAATTGATAGAGTACAACATAATTTCGTATTTATTTTTATACATTTACTTTAACGAAAGGGAGTGATCGCGACTTTAACTGCGAAGGGTTGGGTGTCCCGTAATTTTCATGCAAAATATGACGAACATTATTAATATATTCGTCGAGCTAATCTCTTGTACTCTATCAATTTTTTATTAACAAATTTATATAAAAATTTATATAATGACGTGAGACAGTATATTTTGTCGAGAACGCTGAAACTTAATATTATTTTCATGCATCGTTTGAAATTACTGATTAACTGGAATATTCAATTGTCGGCCTATCGTACGGAAAGTCTCTTTTCTCTGAGTCTCACGTCATTTATTTTGTATATGCACCCCGCGATACACTTTCAAGATGCGTCTCGCATGAATACATGCACAGTCGCACGCATCTTCGTATGTTTACGGTTGTTTTCGCGGTCGGTTTTCGCGATCGTTTTTCAGGAAAAAGTTCAAGAAATTATTAATTGTTTGACTTTATTAACATTATAAATTTTAATTCACCGCGGAATACAATTCAAATATTTTAAAATATATATATATAACGCGAAGTAAATTTTGTTTCCATATCTATACTTGAATTTTGAATTCAAAGATCGAGTCACGAAGAGATAGTCCTATTCTCGAACAAATAACGAATGTCAAAATATATTTGATCAATTTTATAGAGTAAATATTCAGAATTTTCTTACTTTCTTCTTTAATTAACTTCTCGTGGTCGTGCTTTTTTTTATACGATCGACGCTCGCATACAGTTCGAACCGTACGAAATATTTGTCGGTGACGATAAACCGACTATGGAAGGAATTTTCTTCCTTCCTGATCTCTGGTCAAAATGACCAGACTGTATGGCCGGGAGCAACGAAAGGTATGTCCAATCTGGCCCAACGAAGGGATATGCCGAGTGGTCAATATTGGCCACTTTGATGAATTATGTGAATAACATGTTGTATGATATGTTTATTTCTTTTTATGTGCAAAAATTCGGGTGGGTTATATTCTTTCCTTCTTTATTTATTCTAGCATATGTGCAAGATTAAAAAGACCCCTATTAAATCTCGCGCGTATAATGCTCCAAACCTCTTATAAATCGCGTCGCGGTTTTAACGAAAGACTCGGTTTATTAACAAAAATTTATTAACTGAAACGCGGGTAGGTAGGAAAATTAATAAGACTATACAGCGGAATACGGGTAGGTAGGGAGTCGGGTAGACAGGGACAGGGGGACATTACTGCTTAATTAAAAAGATAGGTAAAATTATAACTGCAATGTATTACTATTAAATGTAATTATATTTGTAATCGGATGCATATAATAGGATAGAAGTTGTTGCGCGTTTAAGTTTTTACTTTAAATTTACTTACAATTTTTGTAGATTTGATTTACTTTATGAGATCGTTAATAAATACACTCGGGATATTTTTTATCCCAAACATGCAATGAAGAATTTCATGTTATTGTGTGCATATCGAATATTTCATATGTAACGTCGAGCGAAATATTGTGTTGTATAGATGTTATATTTTTAATTTTATATTGTAATTATTTCTTTTATATTATTGTGTGCATTGTAAAGGAAATTACAAGAAAAATATAATAAATAATAAAATTGTAAAATATCACATTATTTTCGTGTAATCGGGAAATCCGTCGGAGAATCCACGAGCGACGAGCAAGTGCGGTTACATTACCAATGTGTCCCTTACTCAAAAACCTCGATGTTTCGGCGGTTCCTCGAGGAAAGCAGGTGAGAGCATAGTTCTGGCTTTTAAGACCAAAAAATTGAAAAGTGCAAACTGATTTGTTAACTTCACTCTGCAAATCACTTTGTCCCCGGATGATTTCCTAATTATTTCTGCTAGGATTTTTATCGCAAGAGAGTTTTACAATAGTTCTAGAAAGAGTTCTGGCGGGAAAACATTGTTTTTACAATTAAAAAATTTTTTATCACTCTACAAATATATCCTCATGGAGACAAAGGTGTCCGAAGTAACAGAGTTCTGACTTTCTACAAATAGTTCTCGCATAGTTCCGAACATATATAAGCGTTTTCTACAGGGTTCTATGCAGT